TTTTTTTGGTTGCAGTTTTGCTGGGGCTGGGTTCGAACCTGCCACACTTGATATATGGGGCCAGTGTACTACTCCCTGAGCCACAGGAGCTGCCCCAGTTAGTTGTAATTTAACAGTGAGTATATGTATTGTTTGTTTTTCCATTCTTTAGATATTTCACTTAAGATAATGGTCTTCAGTTCCATCCATTGTTGCAAAAGGGATTATATCATGTTTCTTCATGGCTAAGTAGTATTAAATGGTGTACATGGTTGTGTGTGGTATACATATATGTGTGTGTGTGTATTTACCATACACACCACATTTTGTGAATCCACTTATAAATTGAGGGACACTGGTTTGATTTCACATCTTTGCAATTTTGAATAGTGCTGCAATAAATATTCACATGAAAGTGCCTTTTTGATAAAATGACTTATTTTCCTTTGGATAAATACCCAGTAGTGGGATTGCAGATCAAATGGTAGATCTACTTTTTGTTCTTTGAAGAATCTTCATCCTCCTCCCTCCTCCTCTCTCCCTGCTCCCTTGTTATACTAAGTGCAATTACCATAGAAGTGTATTTGTTCTTTTCAATTTTTTTAAAGAATAAACATTCCTTTCAAAAAGTGTCTCTGTGATTGTGTCATTTTTTAATTTTTTATACTTGTTGTAATGAATTAAGAGAAATTTGCGTTTTGTTAACATATAATAATTGTCACCTATTCATGGTGTTGGTATTGTAACTATTCTAATATACATGTTTAGAACAAGCACCAATTAAGAATACGACTGCATCCTTATCATCTTCTGCCAGCCGGTTGTTCATATTAACATTGGAGGAAATCGCAATGTTATTTCAGGAAGCTGCTTATCAGTTATGGGGATTTTGTTTGTTTGGTTGGTTGGTTATTTTTTTCTTTATCTAATTAGTGAACAGCGTGAGAAAAGCTTTATCTTTAGTATGGTTTCAAAAATAATAAAGGTGGGAATAAAAAAGACCTTCGGAGATTCCTCCCCACACACAGGAAATTCTGTCTGAATTTTACCTGTCTGAGATCAGGAGCTCCCCCTTGTTGCATTAGAGTTTGCACGTTTGTTATAATATTTCCTAACTCTTTTAAATCTTTTGAATCACTTAGTTACGCATATATTTCCTACATAGAGAAAGCTCTCATGATGTACTGTGTGGACTAATTTGAAATCTTCTTTTTCTAAATATAAGAAATTTACCCATTCTAATTTAACTAACAGAAATACTATATATGTTAGCCAAATTATTTTATGCTATGTTTACTAAGTTTCTTTAGGTACCTTCCTCTCTGTTAACGGTCTTAGCTGTAGATGCTTTTCTAAATTTCTTTGACGTCTTCACAGAAAAAGTAAAAATGAAGTTATTTTCAAGTACTAATTCATAAAGTTGTGGTGTTAATAGTTTCATTCTGGCCCAGGGAGTACATATT